AATACCTGCAAGTGAATTCTGCAGCTTGCTGTGCACCACTGGAGTGGTCAGGTTCACTGTTTCTCTCCTGAGATGTAAAATGCACCAGGTGAAGATTAATCTGGTTGGTGCTTGTACGATGTAAATGATACAGGACTCTAAATATTATTACAACTGTATTGCTGCATTTCTATACAGAGTTAAGCACGAAACATAACGTAATAAAAAGGAGGCACCTACCCATCTGGAATTGAGTAGTGCAGTGATCACAGCAGTGATAGCATAAGCCCTAATAAAGTGGCAGCTGTCTGTGCTGTGTGCTAGAAAAGTATTTTTATGCCAGCATAAAAATTACCATGCTCAGGAGCTGAACTGTTGTAATGTTACTGCTTTCCAGTCTCCACTTTTAAAAACAACAACTCTATAGAAAAACTCTGAAACATTTCCATTCTTTGTCTTCAGTGCTACCTTCAGAAAGGTAGATGTGTATACACTGAATGTTGGAGGAGCAGTGCTGAATAGCAGAAAAAAACAGTACAAAAGAAAATTTGGAGAGAGATATGTTCTGGTATCATCCAAATGGGATCATGTCATAAGTTTCTACACACTTTATTTTTTTTACAGAGAAGTTGTGGCATACCTAGACTCGCCTGTCAGGAGGAAAACACGTCTACAATTTATAAATAGAAGGCTTAGATAATGATTAATTATCATTTTTTATACATGCAGTTTCTAATTGCAGAAGGATTAATGTGATTCATAAAAAGTAGGTTCAGGAGTTCTTCCTTGCATTATAGGAAAGGACTCATCATCTGCATAATTGTTAAAATTTACTTTAAATAATTAGAGCACAAGTGAAAGATCAGAAGAGGAATATCCCAAAATGGCTACAGAATGAGCACTTTTGAAATTACTTTTGCTTAAGCTTTGTTACACTTAGTAAAATTCAAAATATGGATGTTTATCAGAAATACTCTGTACATTAGAATAATCAGCTAAAACTTAGACACATAATTTATGACACAGTATGTTTTTTTATTGCCTGCTTTATGATGTCGTTAAATGAAAGTACCCTTTTGTGTGCCTTCCAAGCCTTGTCCTAAGTCAGCTGCAGTGTTTGGGGTCAGAATCAAAGCCAGCCTCCCTCAGCATGAATGGAGAGATGCTCATCGATTCCACCATGAGTTGAACTCAACCTGAAAGGACACTTTGGCAACTAAACTGATGGAGATGGCTGTATGTGCAGTGTGCCACCTTCTGTGGGGGGAGTATAGGAATACAGTGGATATTAATAATTATATATTTAGCTAAAAAGAGACCTTTAAAAACAAAACTAGAAATATTAAGATAAAAGAACAAAAACAAAATGATGAGAAAAATCATGTGCCATGTGCTATGGCTGTAATAAGTAATAGATCAAACTGGAACAATTATTGTTTTCCTTAATTTAAAAAAAAAAAAAATTATTAGGAGCATACATTATCTAAGTATAATTACAGCAGGCCAGTGTTGAAGTTACTTATCAATATTCTATCAAAGTATGTAAACAGGGCCCGGTTTTTGCACCCATACTACTGTAAAATTTAAAAATCAGTCTTGAAGTTTATGTGATTCAGTTTAGGTTTAAAAAACAAACCTAATTTGACTGCAGCCAAATGCTTGGTTTTTCTTACCACTCGTTTATTTTAGAACACCAGCTAGGTGGAAAAACTTCTTTTTATGGTATTGGGTGAAGGAAAATCTGAGTTATAGAATTATCATGGCAGAATGTCCTGTAGGATAAATGAAAATGAAATAAAAGTCCATAAGTGATTTGATTCCTAATTCTGAGGTTTACAAACCACCTGGCAATGGTTGCAGTGTGGGAAGTGATCGGACCAGCAGCGCTTGTTGCATTATTTTCAGTGCAGATTCTCCTGTGTAAATTATGTGACCTGTTCATCTTGGGATGGAGGAGGTTGCCAGGCAAGTTTTTTTGCTATCATTCATCATTATTTCCATGCTATCATCCATAAAGGAAAAAAAATTCCTGGTTCTATAGGAATCATTCCAAACTGAGATGCCAGAGCTGAGTTTCCTCAGTTCCAGATGCTTTGTCAGAATTGTAATTCCCTGAGAGCTGGAACTCTTGCATACCTATGGAAGCAGATGAAAGAATAGGAATAAAAATAAGATACTGAATTACTTCTGCTGGTACATGCCTGAAAAAAATCATCAAAGGTTATTATAATTATGCCTGTTATTAGATATCATGTCTAGTTTCTCCATATTTAAATTCTTTCTGAGAGAGGTGAAACTTAGGCACTTAGAGATCCCAGGGGAATAATTGCAGAAATGATGACATATTCCACATCTTGAACAAATTTCAGTACCAAAGCTGCATTCTGCGTACTCACCTTTCTTCTTAATTACACTTGGATGCAGGCTAGATGGTCATCTTCTGTCTTACAAATGCCTGGAGCCAATTAGTCTTGTAGATTATGAATACCCAATGGCCCAACTGGTTAAAAGGAATTTTCTGTTGTTACAGCAAAAGGCTTTGCAAGTAGCTGAATATCATCTTTCTCTGTGAGTTCAGCCTTAGCCAAGGCTACAGGTCCTGTAACCTGAGCAAGTCAGTGTGTATGTGTGTGTGGAATTTAGTCTTCCTGTTTCCTTCCACTCCCAAGAACTTCTGAGCCCAGAAGCTCTGTCTGGCCCACTGAAACGTGGAGAACTGAGCTCATAGAAGTAAAACCAATAAAAACTGACGATGTGTTTCTGAAGAAACCACTGCTTGTATCAAATACAGGTGTTGTTCTTCCCTCTGATTTTTTTTTTATTATTATTATTGTTTGGGTTTTTGGTGGGTTGGTTTTTTTTTGGGGGTGGGGATATCATGCTTGCCATTCTGTCATCTGAGAGTATGAAGATAACCCATATAGCTTCGTCTACCTCACGGGCAGGATTCATAGAGATGGTGAAGGCAGAACACTATGACCAAAGAGAAGCAGGGAAGCACAAGACAACTGTGAAATGAGTTACAGAGGCAGTATTGCTCTGACCCAGTTTTGCCAAGTGGTGGTGTTGGTAAATACCAGATCAGTGTGAGGACATGACTTCGTGATTGGCCTTGGTGCCTTTCAGTGGCAGCATGGTTCCCCAAGGGTGATGTTGCTTATCTAACATTTCTTCCTCCTCTTTTTCACAATACCACATGACATCTGGGACTTTGGTACTGTAGTGCTACAGGAGATACTGGGTTGTGATTTTAAAGCTATAGTCTCAAATATTATAGAAACAATAAAACTTCTTCAATCAAGGAAAATGTTCCCTGTAATCTTATTACTGTAATAGTTATCTCCGGTGCTCTCTTGATGCATATTTACAAAACTTCTCTAGGGATTTGAATTGAATAACTGTTTTCTTGAAAGAAAAAAAAGCACCTTACTGTTTAGGGGAATAGTAAATGGTTACTCTGGATTTAGGTTATTAAAATTTAAGTAGGTTATATCTGTTGTTATTTGTAATTGCAGACTTCCCGGGGAAACATGAGCAGGAATTTTAAACGTGTTATAAACAACTCTTAAACACCTCTTTAAAGTATGCAAAAATATGGATAGTTTCTATTAGGATTCTGCTACTGGGTCTGTAACTTGGGGCTTGTGCCTCTTCTGCTGTGTACCCCACACTTGTGGTCCCAGGGAATTAACTGTAGCTGCATTTGGGGAGATGAGCTGGGTGCTTGCTGTCTCCTCTTCTCTCCAGGGAGTACCTGGGGAATACTCCAGGTACATGCACAGGGAAGGGCAGGGAGGAAGAGTTGCTCCATGAAATCTTTCTTTTTGGCAAGTGGAGAATTATATATATTGTATATGTGTGTGTATATATATAAAAAAGCATATGTACATTACTGTAATGTAAATGTGATATTACTGTACTTTATTCATGTTCTTTTTTTTCTACCATTGACTGTTAGAGAAGACCCTAATCCTGTCTTTCACTGCTTGTACCTTAAAGTCTCAAAACATTATTATCTCTCTACACCTTCTTGCTAATTCACACAGACCTTATGATGGAGACTTCAAAACTTCTGCATAACAGCTGCCACAAGGATGTGGTGGGAGTCTTTCAGGGAGGTGGAAAGGTCTTGAATGCAGCTTTGCTCACAGATATTAAAAGTTTGGAGTAAAAAGTGAAACCTTTTTGATTCTCAAAATAGCAATAAAAGCAGTGAGTAAATTTAGCTTGCTAGACAGTTGTAATCTTCAGAATGCGTTTGTCAAATAGTTTGGAAAGAATTCAGGGAACATTTAGATTAAAAAAAAAAAAGAGAGAGAGAGATAGGCTCAGACTAAAATCAGGCTAAAAATGTAAGCTAAATGTACTCCAAGGTTTGCAGCAATTAGGCTATAAACTTCATTATACAACTCAGTGATGGATAAAATCAAAAGGTGTTGTGTGGGGAATTTCGAACTTTGGGGAAAGTCAGACTTTGTTTCATACCTGCTTGGCACCTAAATGGAGCTGATTTATCTTGAGGTCTTCCATTAACTAAGTGTAAGACTGGTGCTTCCTTCAAACTGTGTATTTGGAAGCTGGGAGGTGTAATTGCAACACCATGCCTTTTAGCCCAGTGTTTATTTGGCCTTTAATATCACCACGTCTGTGAGTGGTTAAAAACTCTACTTTATGTAGTCTTTGTAATAAGCTGGGTTGACTCCACCACCATGGAAATCATCGTGATCTCACGATGTTGTGTTGTGTTAGTAAGTAAAAATCAGTTTATATTTCTAAACTCAAATTTTACGTTAAGCCAGTGCAGTACCACAGGTCTAACCCTCAGTTCTGACTTTTAACCCTGTCAGTTTTAGACAGTTTAAATTAGGTTTTTCTCTGCCCCGCTTTCTTGCTGACACAGAATTTCCACAGAGAATTTGATTATTTCTGCCAAGAGTGTTTGCCTGTAGTTGCTGCTCTCTACTGAGTGTAATTCATTATTTTTGTTTTCTGAGTCATCTCTCTTGTTTTTCATTTTACAGGTTGATGAGAGGCAGAGAGTTCTGGTAACAGAAGAATCGTTTGATTCCAATTACTACGTTGCTCACAATCCTTTCTACGAGCAGGTACAATTAAATAAACAAAATAACAAATTTCTGTTTTATTTTTGCATTCTGATGCTGGCTTATGAAGTTTTTAAGTATTGCAGTTATTTTAATATCTATGTATCCAAAGCACTGTTTTCTGAACAGTTGAATCTTGGTAATTTCCGTGCATCTTTCAGAAAATCCTTTCAGGCAATGCAGTTTAGAACAAAAATTATTTCAAATAATAGGAAGGGTCAGAAACTTCTTTAGATTAACATTTCAGCCTGGTATGCTGTACTTCCTTCGAATAAATTAATTTTTTCCACACAGGAACATTATCTTTGAGCTAGGAAGGAAGTACAGCATCTATTTCACAAAATCATTATTTTTGCTCAAAAACAGATGACATTGAAAACCAATAAAATTGGCTTTTCTGAATCTTGATGATTTCATTCTGGTTTTACCTTTGGCTTGTTCTCTGTTTTCTTGCACTGAGCAGTCTGCACTTTGCTTTTGATACCTTTAGTTATTCAGTTGTCTGAACCTGGAGAGACTCTTGATAAAGACTATTTAGTCATCAATAGTGCTTTCTTCTGGTTCCAGGTTATGTTACAGCATTTATCTGTTTATTTTTGCTTAGTTTTAACATTACTACTCTTGAAATATATTTCTGTTTGATATCTGGTTCCCTAATTATTTTTTGCCTACTTTCTTCTTTTTTTAATCTCTTTTTTTATTGTTGTTGTTGCATCTCTAATCTCTGTCTAAGTCTCATGTATCACTGTTCCTTGCTTTTGTAGCTTATCAGTCAGATTTGAAGAATATGGTTTTCCATATAGAGATTAAAAAGAAATTCCTTGGGTTTTTTTAGTGCTCAGTAATTGTAGTATGGAAGTTACTTTATTCAAAGGGAAAAACACTGCATGCAGAGAAGAAGTGTTGCTGTTTTATGGGGTGTTTATACAGCACCTAGTACAGCTCCTGGTTGGGGCTCGTGCAGAATACATGAAATACAAGTAGTAACACAGGGAGTCATTTTAGATTTTATTGTAGAAGAGATGCTTTCCATTATGAAAATGTGTGTCTTTTCCCTAAAATCTTGTGTGTGGCATGTTTGACAAGGGTAATATCCTACTGTTCACATAGGTAAGCACAAGACATGGTGCTAGTGACTAACTTCAATAGCAGTAAATTTAATGATAGTAAATTGAAAACCACTCGAGTCACTAAATATCATATTTTACATTGGAAACTGAAGCTCAGAGTCCTGGTGTAATGTTCTGTTAACTCAAACAGTTATCAGACCTGTTATCTCCTCACTGAGCTCATCCTTGTTAAAAGGGTTTGCTATTAAAGCCACACTGAGAGACTTGCTGGTGGAACTGCAGCTTACATTTGTGGAAGCTTTGGTGATGTGGTTTAAGGTAGTTTATTGAACAGAGTGGTCTTAGATGACCAAAGGGTACTTTGCCAGAACAACAGTCAAGATCAAAGTCTCTGCTGGTATAGCTTTGTTTCTTAGAAATGGGTTTGGTTTTTCTTTTCCTGACAAATAGTTACATCAGAAAAATGTATGAGTGTACACCAAGCCTGGCTGCTTTGTTGTTTACAGTACCTCCCAGACATTTTCATTTAACCTCTTTCTTTTTCTGAAATAGTAGCACTTACCCACATCTGTCCCTGAGGATTTATGTTTAGTTACCACCATTTCACATACGGAGATACCAAGATTTACAGAGGTCACAGGCCCAGTGATAGTTAGTTACCTAAATTTCCTTTGATTTCAGTTTGCCTGAGATGAGTTTTGTGGGAGGAACTGTGATCTAGTCACATCCTACTGCTGTCTCAGGATTAGGATCCTGGCTTGGTGTGTGCCACTTAGTTCCAATTAGTATCAGCTTGCCCATCTCTTAAAGGCAAAGATGCCTGGTTTTTTTAAAAGATGCTTAGGAATTTCAGTAGAATTCCAGGATGTGGAAACTCCTACAGTCATGAACACCTTGAGCCTTCAGGGAAAAAAAGGAAATTACTGGCAATGATTTCCTCCAAGTGGGACAACCTACACTCGTGATGGATAAAAATGCAGAGGTGCTGTTTGGCAACAAAGTGCTCTCCAAATGGGGTTGGCACAGTTTTCCTCTGAAAATTCTCTGCACATGTCGTCTAAAAATCGAGCCATTTTAAGGTGTTTGAATTTCAGCATCCAAAAACCAAGATATATGTTTGTGCTCATCACCTTTGAAAAGCTTACCTTTGTGCCTGTGGATGAGCTTCAAGTAAATGTGTTTAAATAAGTCCCTGTGATTCCATTTTTCATCATTTAATTGGGAAATGACTCTGCTTTTCTTTTTCAACTTCTTCTCTATTTTTATGCTATTTGTTCTTCCAGCAACAAAACATTTATCTTCTATGTTGAGCTCTTAATTTTGTAACATGAGTGACCTAGGTACATCTGTTATGTTGTGTTGTCTTTTTTTGTGAGACTGTTGATATCATGGTTGTGCAGGTTCAGGGCAGAGTGGTGTTAGTTGGTGACCCAGGAAACACACTCATCCATTTCTACAGGCATTTATTCAGTCACACATCTCAGCTGCAGAGGATCTATGCTCTCAAAGTTAAGGGCTTGTGCAAATGGAAGCAAGGGCAGAATTTCTGTCCTGAAGCATTTAGAGACTCAGAAATATTTGTTTTTAAAAAAGGTATCGTTTTCAAAAAATGATAAAGCTTTCAGAAAGCTCTATGGCAGCCTATTAGAATTGTGTAGTACAAGTGCCCCTGAGAATTGTTTGGGTCTGGATTCAAATGTTGCAGCTCAGGCCAAACTTCCTCATCAGTCAAAAAACACAACTCACATAATCAGTTGGAGTTGAAAAGAGCTGAGCTAACACTGAAAAGCTCTTGAAGAATGAAAGCCGAAGATGTTACTGGTCAAGTGTGTCAGGAGCTATAATGTATGCCAGTCACTAAAATTTTGCAGCTTTAGGATTTGCTCTGCTATGTTTCTCAAAATTCTGTTTTCTGAGTGGAAGCTGAAGACATTGATGTTCTTTGTGATGTTTAGTAACCATGGCTTCATCTGTATTTGAAAGGTTCTTGTGCCAAAGGATCCTCTGTTAATGGGCAAAATGGTAGAAGTGAATATTTATGAAGCTGGGAAGCATTTTATGAAGGGGCAGCCAGTGTCAGATGCCAGAGTCTACACTGCATCCATCACCAGGCCGTTAGCAAAAGGAGAAGTTTCTGGTTTAACAGAGGTGAGTAAAAGACATTTTCTGCTTTACCTCACCGGTAAAACAGCAGCTGTTCAAGCATAATGATTCCATGCTATCTGTTATCATTTTATAGTTCCCTTTTTATATATGCATGAAGCTTTAATCTTTCCTGACAGATTGAAATCTGAATTTAAAAGACGCTTTTGCCGATGCCCATAGCTTTACTGACTACAAAAGAAATAATACACTTGTTTCTTGTACCAGGGTGCAAGATGAGGAAAGAACCTACTAGAATTGAAAAGATTTAACAACAGTGATTATATAATTCAATGTATTTCTCTTCTGGTTTAGTGGAAGGCTGAATCAGTTTATTTTGCTCTACAAAGCTGTTTTAAAAAAATATGTGGTGATTACTTGTCTGTTAAAACAAGTCAAAACTGGATTTGGAGATTCAAAATTATTTGATGGGTAGAGGTATGGAATATTTACAATATATTTCAGAAAAAGGTCAACATCTGATTTAGTTGTATAAAGAAAATGAAACTCTTTTAAAAGGAGATCTGATCCTTATTTTACACCTCAGTAGATATGGCTGTTAGCCAAGTATTCTCATACATTTCATGGAGCTCTAGTTGTAAAAACTGATGGAGTGTGAAATGAAAATGTGTATCACATTTCTAAGCATCATTTGATGTCCTTTCTCCAGCACTGTTGTTAAGATCTCAAAAAATATGTAGCAATAATTTAGCACATGGAAGAAGGATAATTGGCAGTTTCTCAGCCACCTTGCTGCTTCTACAGCGAATTGTTGACAAGTATTCAAGTATATAGGCATCCTTGTTAAAGTTCTAAGTAGTCACATTTAAAGGAAATAATCAATGCACACCTTAGGTGACTAGTGTTAAGCTGAGCTACCTGGTCTCTTGAACAAGCCTGGCTATGGAAGCCTATAACATCCATAGTGCACCTACTATAACGTGCTTGGCAGATCATGAAACCTAAGCATAGACACATTGTTAAACTTTCCTTTGAATAGTCGTGTGTGTATGTGTATGTTGGCCTGATAAGGGTCTGTAAGAGCAAAAAACAGCCAAAACCCTCAAATTGTCTGGTTAGACCATGTAGCTATTTAAACACAGCTGATTTTTTCATCGGAATACTTTTTATTTAATAATCTGCTGGAACAGAACCAAGCCTGTCATTAAACTGAGATGTGCTGCCAGAAGCTTGTAGCATGGGAGCAAGCAAGCAGACTGCTGACTGAATTTTTATGTGTTAAAAATGAGAGATAAAATTATTAAAATTGAGACTACTGATGATTTCCATAAGAACTCATTGAGATGTACATACCTGCTCCTGCCCTTTGAGGAGGTATGAACAAGTACCTGGAGTGCCCAAGTAAATGGTTATAGCAGGCAAATAATAATAAGGGAAATTGCTTGTCATTACTTTTGTGGCTGGCAGTGCTCCTTCAGAGGGAGTATCTTATTGATGCTTGGTCCCCTAGGCATGTTAGGAACTTTCGCTTTCTGGAAAAAACTAAAATCTCAACACTTCAGTAAATGGGACATCTTTTGTATGGGGAAGCTACAAGTGAAAGCTTTTAATTGTACTGGCCAGTGTGTAAAATATAGAACATGAAATGAAATGTTAGTGGAAAGTTCCACCTGACCAGTCATATGTAAGTGGCAAATCAGGAACTTTTCCTTAGGCTCCCAGGGAAAAAAGTCAGTTTGTCACAAAAGTCATCATGGGTGGAAGATACTGATTGTGGTGGACGTGTTAAGTATTAACATGAGCAGGTGTTTGCCAGGATTTATTTTTTACTTCAGCATGCATTTTTCATAAAAGCCACTCAAAAGGGAATGATGTCTCCAAGTCGAACAGTTTTACAGGAGAATGGGTTCTACTAGTTTCACAGGAAAAAAGAAAAACCCAAGATGTAAATGCTGCAAGTGTGATACCCTTTCATGGAGGTAGGCTTGGAGCTGACAAAGCATTAAGGATCTACTTCAGCATTTTGAGGTTCAGTGAAGCAATTTAGCTTGTCTGCTATGTTCTTGAGTGCTCTGGTAAAATAGTCTTTGAGATTTTGATTTTGGAGGTAGATTGGATATGTGCATGCTACTACATTGTCACTGGATAATAAGTATTTTTGAAAAGTCATCAGTGTCTGTTAGTAGTCTGAATGTAACTTAATTTTTAAATAACATTTTAATATTTTTGGTTTTATTAATTCTATTTGGCCATGCTTTGGGATCTTGACAGTTTTTCAGCAGCATAAAGCAAAATACCTAATAAATATAGTCTGTTTAAAGACAGATGTTTGCCCAAAACCTAATAGTTGAAAAAAAAAAATCTGCAAGAAGATTATCTCTTGTTAGAAATGGAAATAAACTACGTTATGCTTCTGTACTCCAAAAATAATTTTAGTTGTTTACATATGTTCTGTGACTAGAGGAAAAAAGAAATTTCAAGATGAGAAATATATGAAGAAGAGACCAAATGACTGATGGATAAAAATAAAAGGCTGGATACCTGCCAGAATTATAATGCATTGCCAAAATCAAAGCCCCATCGGTCTGAGAGCCTTTGGTGGGAAATTTTAATCAGATGGAAAATTAAGGGGGAAAAAAGAAAAGAAAAAATGTAACAGGTTATTAATTACGTAGTCATTATTATTTTACATTCATAATTCCTGTTTCTAAAATGCATCTATAACTGACTTTCTTTTCAAACAAATATAGGCAAACAGATAATTCTTTCATTTATCTATTTTCTGTTGGTTTATGTGATAACATTCTTCATGTCTAATGCTTGCCCTGCAGATGACTCCTGCTAGCAGTCCCCATTTACAGTATTGCCTTTGGTGGGTCTGGGATCTTGGTGCACATCTCTGTGGCTCCCAGGCCATGGTAATATCCACAGCTGGCCGATTAAGTTAATAACTGTTCAACTCATTGGGATCTTTGGAGGAAATGAAGAGTGAGCCACTGATCTTCAGTTAGCAACCAAGTGCCGTATCTGCCTCCTTGTTCCTTTTTTTCCTCCATCCCACCTTCATTTTTTGCAGTAGGTTATTGTAGCATTGTACCTCTGGATACTGCTGGAGAAGTTTTATGTTCCTGATCTCCCAGTTAGTTAAATCTCCACAAGTATTTTCTAGTTACATTAGCAAAAGATGACCTCTAAACATTACCCAGCCTTCTTTTCTGATATTAGGAAACAGGAAAGTTCCATATATCAAACACTTCTTTATAGCCTGCCAGAAGGAAGAATCACCAAAGCATAGCTTAAAGGGAACTCTCTGATCTCAGGTAGAAAAGGTGCTTCACTTGCAGGCAAAACAAAACAGAGAAGGGGGAAGAAAATAGTTTGTGCTGGAACAGAAATGAAAGGAAACTTCCTTCAAGGACTTGGAAGGAAATGTAGAAGATGTGCATAAACTCAAATAATTATTAAACACAGTTTTTACCTATGCTGGAGTTTCAAAGTGGTGGAAAATTTGGTTCCTGAGAAGGTATTAGAGATTAGACATTGAGGAAAAAAAGAGAATGAGGAAGCAAACTTTGGATCAAAAACTGGCATGGAGATGCAAGGAGGGGAAACTCACATAGAATTAAACAGAAACTACAGAAGGTATGAGAAATGCTAATGAAATATCAGAATTTCCAAAGAAAAAAGATGAAGTTAAATAAAATAAATTCACCTTTTACATCTTCTTGGAAAGCTGCTTTACAAAGGGATCTTTGTATCACAAAGTCCAAGAAGGGGCAATTTGAGAAATATGGGTGAGGGAGTTTCTATCTGAGGTGAACATACTGAAAAAAATAAAGAATATTTTCTATGTAAAATAATTTTCAGGTAGTACTTAATGAAAATATGGTACATTATTTGGGGCTTTTGCATTCTGAAAAAAATACCTTTTGTTGGCTCCGTCTTTCTCTGAAACAACCGACTAGTGTGAGGCATACAAATACTGCTTTTGCATGTATTAATCTGTTTCACTTAATGTGTTATTCGTGTTCCCTGCTGCTTGTAAATAGAGGTCATAAAAGATGATGTTAAAACCTTCTTAATTAATCTTTTTTTCTTAGTTTTTCTTCAGTTATTTCACTAAGGTCACTATAAAGTTAACATAAGAAAAGAAATTTCCTTTCTAAGAGTGAAACTCAATGGTATCTATGGATGCTTATAAAAGGAACTGCAAAAGTCTCATTTTTTCTGGAAAAAAATGACCCAAATCTATAATGTGTCTTTCCTTAGATGCTGATTTTAATGATCTACACATTGTCTGCATGTCATGTTGGCTTTGTTAATTTGGGGATTTGGGTTGATTTGAATTTCTCTTCTGCTTGAAAGGCCAATGTTTCTCAGCTTAGAGTCTGAAATTCAGGATGGGTTCTGTCCTACTGTTGCTGGATTGGATTGCCTGTATTGGTTGGGGAATTTTAATCAGTGCTGATCTTTAGGAACATGCTTAGCAAATACCTGTGAGAAATGCTTGAGATGTAGGTCAGCCACCTTGGGTCATGAGTATGGCCTAGGTTACCTCTTAAGTTTGTTTCCAGCCTTATCTTCTATAATTCTATGAACATTTTAATTTCGCCAGCAGTCATTTCATGACTAGCAAACTGGAATAGAAGGTAGTTCATTGATCCCAGACATTTCTCTGCACTGGAGGAAGAACTAAAATACATAAAGATTTAAGACAGCAAACACAAGAGCCAGCACAAGACTTTCAACAAGTACTTTTATCCTGAGGTCTTTAATTTAATGGGGCAAGTTGTCTTCCTGCCCATCCCTCTCGAAGGGCTGAATTTCAACTACAGTGATCAAAGCTCAGCTGAAACAACACATATTACACAGACCCTTTTCAAAAAGATGCTCTCTTAAGTCTGTTTCGTGAAAAGATCTGATCTTTAGTTTATTTACTTTTCATTTCCTCAACAGACAGTGTTATTTGGCTGAATGTCACTGTCTAACCACTTTAAATTGCATAATTATGTTAATCCTGTGTAGTGCATGCAATAAGTGGAAAT